ATGTTTAAATATCAGCCCAGCAGCCTGCACTGCTGAGCTTTTTTTTTTTTTTTTTTCCTCATCTTTTGAATTTTATTAAGACTTATTTTATCACCCAGCATATGGTCTAAGTTGGTAAATATTCCAGGCGCATTTGAAAAGAATGTGTATTCTGTTCTTGGGTGTAATCTCCTATAAATGGCAATTAGGTCCAGGCAATTAATAGTATTTACATATTCTGTATTCTTACTGATACCTTTGTCTAGTTGTTCTATTAATTACTGAAAAAGGGATGTTAAAAACATTCAACTAGGATCTTTGACTTGCCTAGTTGTCCCTTTAATTTTCTCAGTTTGTGTTTCATACATTTGGAAGTTCTGTCACATATGCATATAGAAGGGATATATGTTCCTGCTGATTTGGTTCTTTTATTATTATAAAATAATCTGTGTTGTATCTCATAATACTCCTTGCCTTGAAGTCTATTTTGTCTAATACTGTTATAACCACACCAGCTTTCTTATACTTACTATTTTCATGGAATGTACTTTCCATTCTTTTACTTTTAAACTATCTGTGTCTTTATATTAAAAGTGTGTCCTTATAGACACACTTTTATAGAGCATAAGGATGGGAATTGCTGTTTTATTCAGTCTGATAATCTCTGTCTTTTAGTTGGTATGTTTTGTCCTTTTACATTTAATACAAATGTTGATATGTTGGTCTATCATTTTATTATTTGTTTTCTATTTGTCCTGTATCTTTTTTGATCCTCTGTTCCTGCTTTTCTACTGTCCTTTGGGTTAATCAAACTTTTTAGTATTCTATTTTAACTCCTCTATTGGCTTTTGAGTCATACCAATTTACAATTTTAGTGGTCTCACATAAAATGTGAGAAATTTGCGACATTGTCATTTCATTAACCTCGCCTAGTCCTTTCTACCCCTATTGTCATTATGGTACATCTACATACACTATAAACGCCACTGATTTGAGAAATTGTACTAAGCAATTAATATATAAATAATATATAAAGTAATATATGAGTCGTTTGAGTTCCTTATATTCTGATTATTAATTCGTTGTCAGATGAACAATTTGCAAATATATTCTCCCATTTTGTAGGTTGTCTCTTCACTTTGCTGATTGTTTCCTTTGCTGTGCAGAAGCTTTTATGTTTGGTGTGATCCCATTTGTCCATTTTTGCTCTGGTTTCCTGTGTTTGTGAGGTCTTACTCAAGAAATCTTTATCCAGACCAATGTCCTGGAGCATTTCCCCAATGTTTTTGCCTAATAGTTTCATAGTTTCAGGTCTTACATTTAAGTCTTTAATCCACTCTGATTTGATTTTTGTAGATAGTGAGAGATCGGGATCTAGTTCCAGTATTCTGCATACAGATACCCAGTTTTCCCAGCATCATTTATTGAACAGATTGTCCTTTCCCCAATGGGTGTTCTTGGCACCTTTGTCAAAAATGAGTTGGCTTCAGGATTTATTTCTGGATTCTTTACTTTCTCTATTTTTATGCCAGTGTCATGCTGTTTTACTGCATGTTTTACATCTGTTACTACAGATTCGTAATGTACTTTGAAATCTAGCTTTGTTCTTTTTTGTTGTTGTTGTTGAGACAGAGTCTGGCTCTGTCACCCAGGCTGGAGTGCAGTGGCGTGATCTTGGTTCACTACAACCTCTGCCTCCTTGGTTCGAGTGATTCTCCTGCCTCAGCCTCCAGAGTAGCTGGGATTACAGGCATGGGCCACCACCACTCCCAGTAATTTTTGTATTTTAGTAGAGATGGGGTTTCTCCATGTTGGCCAGGCTGGTCTCCTGGTCTCAAATGATCCACCTGCCTTGGTCTCCCAAAGTGCTGGAATCACAGGTGCTAGCCACCGCGCCTAGCCCGGCTTTGTTCTTTTAGCTCAGAATTGCTTTGGCTATTCAGGCCCTTTTGTGGTTCGTATGAATTTTAGGATGTGTTTTTCTATTTCTTTTAAGAATGTCATTGATATTTCGACAGGGATTACATTGAATCTGTAGATTGCTTTACATAGTAGGAACATTATAACAATATTAACCCTTCCAATTCACGAACATATAATATCTTTCCATTTTTTTTGTGTTCTCTGCAATTTCTTCCATCAGTGTTTTACAGTTTTCGTTCTAGAGACTGTTCACTTCTTTGGTCCCCTCTCCTTTTTTAACAGTTTATGTGATGAAGAAATCAGATCATTTCTCATATAGATTTTGCCACAATCTGGATTTTGCTGATTGTATCCCTATGATGTCATTCAAACTTTCTTTTGTCCCCTGTATTTCTTATAAGTTGGTGATTGCATCTAGAGGCCTGATCAGATGCTGACCTGGTTTTTCAACAAGATCTATTCATACAGGATGAGAACAAGAATTCTGTTTCTTTTGCATTTCGTTAATGAACTACTTGAGAATCCACTTAATTATATTAGCAGGAAGTCCAACAGATCATCTTGAGTCTTGCCCACCTCCTTCCCTATTTCCTGCTTAAATTGTGCAAAACCTTAAGGGCTTACTGAGTCCAAAGGGATCAAATTCTACCTTCCAATACCAGATGGAGAGAGAGGAAAGTAGAAGGAAAAAGAAAAAGAGAGGAAAGAAAGAGAAGAGACGCAAACGGATAAGTTCAACTGGCCGATTCACATAGTAGCTTCTGTACCATCACTCTGAACACTGTCCCACTATAGCTCCTTGCCTCCTTCCAGCTAAGACCACTGCTGGCCCAGATCTGTACAATCAAGAGTAGTGTTCTACACTGGAACTTCACGTTATTCTTCCTAGTTTATAGGCACAAACTGCCTAAAGCACAGGACATGCCTGGATCCACAACCACAGCCACATTCAGGGCCAGCTCCACGTCTTCTCACAAACCCAAGGGTCACCATCTCACCTTCCCTCACAGTGAGTTTGCACTCCAAGGCCCTTGGCGTCCTTTCCTCTCATAGGGCCTTGCTGAGGACCACTTGTTCTATACTCCTATAGGCTTCCTGATCTTTTAATTCCAGACAGGGGTTGGAATATCAGTCCTTTTCCTTCCACAAGGCCTCTAGACTTCTAATGCAAGTCGATGCATTCTCCAACTCCTGCCATCTCCTGCAGCCACATCCTCTTACACTTGGAGAGGAGAAGCAGCCTTGGCGAGCCAGATAAAGCATCCTGTTGGCCTCTGCTCCAAGGACAGGATTATCTACCATTCCTCCTCTTGCATATTGATAGGAGCTACACAAGTGGCTCTTCAGAAAACAAAAGAGCCCATCTCATAGTGACTTTTAATATCTGGCCAGATATTGAAGATACTGGGACAGCTTTTAAAATCTAGCTTCACAGAGTACTCAAATATACAAATATCTGCTTGCATGTTGAAGGCCGACAGAATATGCCACCTCAACATATGCTGCTCTGGCATAAGGATTATTTTGAGCTATAGGCACTTTAAAAAATATATGCAATGGCGGGCGCGGGTGGTCACTGTAATCCCCAGCACTTTTGGGAGCGGCATGGGCGGATCACGAGGTCAGGCGGATCGAACCGATTCCGCTGGGGGTACACGGTGGCAAACCCCGTTCTACTACAATATACAAAACACTAGGGCCGGCAAGGTGGCGGATGCCCCCATAGTCCCAAGCTACGTTGGGGGGGCTGACAGGGAAAATGGTGGTGCGCAGGAGGCAGGGCTTGCAGGTGCGGAGATCAGCGCCACTGCACCCAGCCTGCGGACATGGGAGACTCCGTCTTCAAAAAAAAAAAAAAAAAAACAAAAACTTCCAAGAAGGGCATTCTGGACCCTCCCCGTTTCTTTCCTTGAAAGAAGGAGATAACACCTCCTTTTACCGAAGAGGGTTCCTCCCTGTGCGGGAAGGAACGTTGTTTCTTATTATCAAAGATGGGAAGTTGGAGAGCGCCAAGATATCATATAAAAGTAAGTCTTGTGAATTTTTTTATCTTTCTTAGCCTCCTCACATATTTCTTTTTTTGGTTTTTTTTTGAGCGGAGTTCTTCTCTCTGGGTTCAAGCAATACCTCTACCTCCCGGGTTCAAGCAATTCTCCTGCCTCAGCCTACTGAGTAGCTGGGATTACAGGCGCCCGACACTATGCCCAACTAATTTTTGGTATTTATAGTAGAGACGGAGTTTCACCATGTTGGCCAGGCTGGTCTTGAACTCCTGTCTTCAGGTGATCTGCTGGCCTCAGCCTCCCAAAGTGCTGGGATTACAGGCGAGCCCCGCGCCCAATCAGCCCCCTCACATACTTTAGTAACTTTTCCACAATTGCTTGCCTTAGGTTTTGTCAATTATTTGGGTATTCATTTCCTCATGAGGGCTCCCATGTCACACAAAATTTTTATGAAGTAAATTTGTTTGCTTTTCTCCTGTAAATCTGTCTTGTGTCACTTGAATCCTCAGGCCCAGCCACAACACCGTAAGAGGGTATAGGTAAAAAATTTTGCCTCCCGTGTGATGTCTTCTCTGTTCCTTGATGGTGAGGATATTGGGACTGACCTAGGGTTTGAACCCCCAGTGGCTGAAACAACACTGGCACAAAGGAAATGCTCCATAAATGTTTGAGAATGGACGAATAGATGAATGAACTAACTGCTGAGTTAAACCCAGGCCGGATTGACAAGAAACAGTAGAAACAGTCTGTAGGGAGCAGAGAAAACACCTGTACATTTCCCTATGCACTCCTCACTTAAGAGTGGAAACAGTGATCTTATTGAATCCCATTCCGTTCCAGTCGTCCTGCCCTTCATCCATCATGAATCTGAAGTTGTTTTGGTTATTCTCATGATGCAAGTGTGAATTTCCTTCATGAGACCTGAACCTGCGGTCCCTGAGAGCTGGAGCTGAGCCTCCAGATGTGAACAAGAAGAGCAATGGCTCCTGTTGATTCTGAGGGAGGGGGGCGGGATAGCATGCCTCCCCCGTGCAGCACCTGCTCCAGCCCCTGGCACAGGGAAGGTGCTCAGCAAGGGCGAGCTGCTGCCCTTACCTTCTTAGACTCACAGAAAGAGCACATGCGCCTATAAAATGGACCAAAAACTGAGACTCAGAAAAGTCAAGTATTATTCAAAACTACACAGCCAGAGAGCCTTTCTCCACAGGGCTAGTGAGCCTTGGAGCATCCTACTCCAAATTGGCTTACTTGAATTTTGACCTACCTGAGATTGTATAATACCTTAAAATTTTGATTTTTTAAGAGGAGAGACAGTGCTCTCTGATCCATCTATCTCCAGACAGCTCAGATGGTGAACTAATTCAGCCAACCCCATATCTCCTTACTAATACCCACACTGAAACAACTCAATAATAAACACACAATACCTCCATTAGAAAATGGACAAAGCAGACTGAGTGCGGTGGCTCACAACTGTAATCCCGGCACTTTGGGAGGCCTAGGTGAGTAGATTACTTGAGGCTGGGAGTTCAAGACCAGCCTGGCCAACATGGTGAAACCCCGTCTCTACTAAAAATACAAAAATTAGCTGGGCGAGGTGGCACAGATCTGTAATCCCAACTACTTGGGAGGCTGAGGTAGGAGAATAGGTTGAACCTGAGAAGTGGGGGTTGCAATGAGCTGAGATTGTGCCACTGCACTCCAGCCTGGGCGACGGAGTGAGACCCTGTCTCAAAAAAAAAAAAAAAAGAAGAAGAAGAAGAAGAAAAAGAAAGAAAGAAAAGAAAATGGACAAAGCTGCTGGGCGTGGTAGCTCACGCCTGTAATCCCAGCACTTTGGAGGCCAAGGTGGGTGAATTACTTGAGGCCACGAGTTTGAGACCAGCCTGGCCAACACAGTGAAACTCCATCTTTACTAAAAATAAAAAAATTATTATAAAAATTAGCTGGTGCGTGGTGGTTCGCACCTGTGGTCCCAGCTACAAGGGAGGCTGAGGCAGGAGAATAGCTTGAACCCGGGAGGCAGAGGTTGCAGTGAGCTGAGATTCCACCACTGCAGTCCAGCCCGGGATGACAGAGCAAGAGTCTCTCTCAAAAAAAAATTTTTTTAATAAAAGAAAAAGCAAAAAAACCTGCTTCAAATGATTTTAAGAACACAATGTGAAAAAAGAATTCTATAACAAAATAAATTTTAGCTATCTCTTCCATTTCTTTAAAAGTTGAAGGCTGATATTTAGCGGGAAGTGTTCTAATGTCTGCAATTTACTTTGAAATGCAGCCTAAAAATAAGACGGGGCCAGGCACAGTGGTTCACACCTGTAATCCCAGCACTGTGGGAGGCCGGAGGCAGAAGGATCACTTGAAGCCAGTTCGAGACCAGCCTGGTCAATATAGCAACAGCTCGTCTCTATTAAAAATTGAACAGAGGCCGGGCACGGTGGCTCACGCCTGTAATCCCAGCACTTTGGGAGGCCGAGGTGGGTGGATCATGAGGTCAGGAGATCAAGCCCATCCTGGCTAACATGGTGAAACCCTGTCTCTACTAAAATACAAAATATTAGCCGGGCATGGTGGTGGGCGCCTGTAGTCCCAGCTACTCGGGAAGCTGAGGCAGGAGAATGGCATGAACCCTGGAGACGGAGCTTACAGTGAGCGGAGATTGCGCCACTGCACTCCAGCCTAGGTGACAAATCGAGACTCTGTCACCAAAAAAAAAAAAAAAATTAGAAAGAGAACAAGAAAAAGAAAAAATAAGAAAGTTTGAAGGATGGAAAGAAGGATGAACAGATGAACAGATATGCAATGAAACCAATACAGTAAAATATGAATAACGGAATCTAGCTGATAAATGTGTGTGCACAGTAAAAGCCTTTGAACTTTTAAGTACTTTAAAGTTTTTCAGAATAAAATTTTGAGGAAAATGGGGAGAGGTGCCACTTGCATTTTAGAAAATGTGAACATGCTTCTCCCCTCTCTCCCCAGTTAGACGCGCGCTCCTTTCTGGTCTAATTGCGTTAGCAAGTCACCTTGCGGCCCTGCCCAGCGATTCGGTCGATGGGTGCCCAGAATAACACTCCCCAGCCTTCGCCGCTTGCGAATGTTCAGGGCTCTTGCCGCCAGAGGGCGCGCCCAGGGAGCGCTGAGCGCCAGGGCGCCAGGGGCTGGGTGGCCCGCGCCCAGGAGTGACAGGCTCCGGAGCGGACTTTGCCTGGGGGCGGGTCCCAGGCCAGCTGCTGCTGCAAGTACCTGGGGAAAACAGCTCTTCGAACCGGACAGCGTGAGAGTCAGCGCCTGCTGCCTGGCCGGGCAGAGATTCTGATGGAGGAGAGAGGAGACTGAGTGTACTGGGGAAGTGTCAGACAATGCTAAACGCTTTCCTATGACTTATTTCACATTTTAGTTATAAATCAGCCTGAAAATAGAACGGGAGTGGAAGTGCGAAGGACATGCATTTCATTCCTGGCAGAGGCTGCCCAATCAGGACTCCTGGTCCTCTGAAGACAAAGCAACTTTTTGGGGATGGGGCGGAGGGCGGGATAGCATGCCTCCCCCGCCCTTTCCCCCATGAGCAAAGGGGCTCAGAGTACCTGTGTCCCTGGGCTGAGGTGGCTGCTCCTGTGGGTGCCCTGGGACCTCACTCAGCATCTTCAAAGAGCCTGTGCACCCTACTCCCTCCAGCTTCTTCGTGGAGGGCTGGAGAAGTTGTGAACCTTTGTCAAAAGACAGAAGCACAAACTTAAAGATCTAACTGGCTTTTATTTGCAATTCTAGAAGTGAGCAACACCTCATCCTTAAAGTGAGCTGAGCAGAGGAGGTTGGCTTTGCAGACAGGGAAGGGCTGCAGAAAGCAGAAACAGAACAAAACACGGATTGATCATGTCAAAGTTACTTTCCATATAGGGTTAAAGCAGAGGGGACTTCCTTATTACTCGGGTTGATGCAGATTAAATGGAATGTTTTAGGGGAACTGGCCCATTTCAAAGTTCAGTTTGATGACACGGCACTTAGCACAACTGACTCCATGCTGGTGCCTGGCCTGCTGGGGCCTAGTGCAGGAGACTAGTCCGATAACAACAGCCTCCCATAAATGATGTTTCACACCTCAAACCCTTCCTCAGCTCCAGTCATCCCAGTGCTCCCACTGACCCAAGTATTTTCTGAGACTATTTGGTTCCCCAGCCACCAGAGAATCGGCATAAATCATAAGTCACTCTGTATTTTAAAACCATGATCATGCTGGGTGCGGTGGCTCATGCCTATAATTTCAGCACTTTGGGAGACCAAGGTGGGTGGATCACCTGAGGTCAGGAGTTTGAGACCAGCCTGGCCAACATGGTGAAACCCCGTCTCTACTAATAATACAGAAATTAGCTGGGCATCGTGGCGGGCACCTATAATCCCAGCTACTCAGGAGGCTGAGGCAGGAGAATCGCTTGAACTGGGAGGCGGAGTTTGCAGTGAGCCGAGATCATGCCACTGCACTCCAACCTGGGAGACACAGCAAGACTTTGTCTCCAAAAAAAAAAAAGCCAGATATCAAGAGTACATATAAACCCTATAATTCGATTTATATAAAACTGTAGAAAAAAATAATCATGACAGAAGAAGATGAATGCTTACCTTGGGCCATTGGCTGGGGTGTCAAATGGAATGGGGCGCAAGAGAACTCTGGGGAGCAACAGAAATGTTCTGTATTTTCATTGTGGTAGTGGTCATATGCATGTAAAACATTGTTAACGTTCAATGAAAAGTTTGCTTGAAAAAAAAACCTGCCTTCTATTACTCTAATCTTCAGGTCTGGGGCGTTCTTCCTATTGCGATAACGTGAACGAAATCAATTGCTCTCCTTGTTCAGTTTTTTCAGGCTTCTCTACTCTGTGTTCCAGAAGCTGCCAACTGGGAGTGTGCAGACTGACAATTGTTTCCTGGCAGCTCCCCAGTAGAAGGTGAGGTGTATCTGCTCCCTGCTAGGATCCTGCCCCGCGACAAGGGCCCACCTCTCTGCCTGCCTCCTTTAAGGGACGCCTCCTGCTCCACAGCCTTGCCCGCTGTGCTCCATCTGCACTACCAGGGCCTCGTGAACTATCCTAGGAGTTGGGAGGGCAGTGTGCAGCTGGGGAGGGAACGCTCGCAGAGAATGAGGTTGGGGGTGGCTTTGGCAAAGAATGCACTTGGGGCCTGTAGAGAGGTCAGAGAAGAGCAGGGCCACCTTTGCTCATATCAGATGCTGCTTGGCCACCCACACCTGACCCTAGCTCTAAAAGCCAGTGGGTGAGGGGTCTGATTCTGGAAACTGGATGAAAGAGCAGGGACAATTGAGTGGGGAAGATACAGGATGAGCACGGGCAACCTGCGCAGGGGACGTTTCACTCAGGTATTCTTTCAGCAAGCTTTAATTGAACGAACACAATGGAGTCTCAAGGGTCTTTATGGAGTGAATGCAGGAAAGAAAGAACGAATGAATGAAGATAGGATCCCTGTACTCTCAGAACTCATCTTCTAGATAAGAAGACAATTCACATACGAAAATACCAATAACACAGAATGATATATGAGAGGTACCATAAAATTTTATGGAAATGAACAAAGGAGAAAAATAACTTCTAGCAATGCTCCCGGGTCATCCTACCCCTTATGAGTGTTGTTGCAAATTAGAAGGAGCTTACCTGAACAGATCCAGCCTCCTGGGCCCATGGGGCCTGCAAACAAAGAGCATATGCTTTTAGGCCACTCTCCTCCCCAGTCAGGCACCCTGGTGCAGGACTCAGCCTGCTTCTCTGTGAGTGGCAGCCAGGGCTTCATGGAGGAGATGACATTGGAGTCTGCTGAAAGAATAGAGAAGACAGAGAGGACTTAGAACAGTGGGGAGGTGGGAAAGGTGGCAAGGGAGCAGATGAGAGGAGAGAAGAGGATATTCCAGGCAGAAGGATGGGTGGACCAGCATCCTGGAAGCAGGGGATAAAGGGATCTTACAGGAATGTGAAGATTCTGCTGGGGCTGTCCCCTGGAAGGCCACAAGGGCACTTACCTTTGTGGTGGGTGCCCTCAGGTCACACATGCAGGCCAGTCAAGTAGAGCAGCCCAGTGATTAGAGGACATAGGCTTGGGAACCCTTATGAGTCGAATTCCCCCCAAAATTTATACGCTGGAGCCCTATCCCCCAGTGTCTCTGAACGTGACTGTACTTGGAGTTAGGGTGTTTAAGGAGGTAATAAGTTCGAATGAGGTCACAGAGCACTGCGCTAATCCAACAGAACTGCTATTCCTAAGAAAAGGGAGACACACCAGGGATGTGTCTGCACAGAGAAAAGACTGTGTGAGGACCCCATGAGTAGGCAGCCATCTGCAAGCCAAGGAGAGAGTCCCCAGAAGAAACCAGACATGCCAACACCTTGATCTTGGAATTCCAGCCTCCAGAACTGTGAGAAAATAAGCTTCCATTGTTGAAGCCCACAGTCTGTGTTGGCAGCCTGAGCAAACGAATACAGGAGTCAACATCAAGCTCCTAACTTCCTCGCTGTGTGTCCTGAATGAGTCATGTAGCCTGGCTCAGTCTGTTTTCTGATCTAAATGGTAAGCAAAGGTAGAAACACCCAGGGTGGCAATGAAGCTTAAGTGAAACTGCATGTGTAAAATAGGCAGCTGGCAAGTATGCAGATGTTGACAGAAGAGTCCAGTTTCTAAAATGAGATGCAGGCCGGGCACGGTGGCTCATGCCTGGAATCCTAGCACTTTGGGAGGCCAAGGTGGGCAGAACACCTGAGGTAAGGAGTTCAAGGCCAGCCTGGCCAACATGGTGAAACCCCGTCTCTACTAAAAACACAAAAAAAAATTTAGCTGAGTGTGGTGGCACATGCCTGTAATCCCAGCTACTGTGGAGGCAGAGGCAGGAGATTCGCTTGAACTCGGAAGTGGACGTTGCAGTGAGCCGAGATCACTCTGCACTCCAGCCTGGGCAACAGAGTGAGACTCTGTCTCGAAAATGATAGTAATAATAAAAAATAAATAAAATGAGATGCAGGTAACCTGGGGGTGAGGAGGGGAGAAAATTCACTGGAGTGGAGGAAGAAAAGATAAGGACTTATTTCTTTTTTTTCTTTTTTCTTTTTTTTTTTTTTTTGAGACAGAGCCTCATTCTGTTGCCCAGATTGGAGGCGCCCTCTCGGCTCACTGCAACCTCCACCCCCTAGATTCAAGCAGTTCTCCTGCCTCAACCTCCCAAGTAGCTGGGACTACAGGTGCCTGCCATCACACCCAGCTAATTTTTGTATTTCCAGAACAGACGGGATTTCACCATACTGGCCACACTGGTCCCGAACTCCTTCCCTTGTAATCCACCTGCCTTGGCCTCCTAAAGTGCTAGGATTACAGGCCCGAGCCACTGCACCCAGCCAAGAACTTATTTCTTATAGTTATATCTTTTTTTCTTGAGACAGAGTTTCTGTCTTGTTGCCCAAGCTGGAGTGCAATGGTGTGATCTTGGCTCACTGCAACCTCCGCCTCCTGGGTTTAAGCGATTCTCCTGCCTCAGCCTCCTGAGTGGCTGGGATTACAGGCACGTGCCACCATGCTGGGCTAATTTTTTTTAATTTTTTAGTAGAAACAGGGTTTCACCGTATTAGCCAGGCTGGTCTCGAACAACTGACCTCAGGTAATCTGCCCACGTAGGCCTCCCAAAGTGCTGGGATTACAGGCATGAGCCACCATACCCAGCCAATATAGTTATTTCTTTTTTTTGTTTTTTTTGTTTTTTTTTTTTTTTTGAGATGGAGTCTTGCTCTGCTTCCCAGGCTGGAGTGCAGTGGCACGATCTCAGCTGACTGCAACCTCTGCCTCCCAGGTTCAAGTGATTCTTCTGTCTCAGCCTCCCGAGTAGCTGGAAACTACAGGTGTGCACCACCATGTCCAGCTAATTTTTGTAATTTTAGTAGAGACGGGGTGTCACCGTATTGGCCAGGCTGGTCTCGAACTCCTGACCTAGTGATCTGCCCACCTTGGCCTTCCAAAGTGCTGGGATTACAGACATGAGCCACTGTGCCTGGTCCAATATAGTTATTTCTTAAACTTATTTTTATAGTTATTTTTATGTCTTCATTTTACATTTCTCTTTTTATACATGGCTTTAATGAGCATAATACGTAAATGTTTATAATTTATGAAAAAGTATCCTTGTAATTTCTACTTAGTGCATGGTTTTAATGTACATCCTATATAAATCCAGTGCTAGCTGTATAAACTATATGACTAAAGAGATTTGCATGTAGTAGCGATGTATGATTTTTTTTTTTTTTTTTTTTTTGAGACAGAGTCTGGCTCTGTCACCCAGGCTGAAATGCAATGACATGATCTTGGCTCACTGCAACCTCCGCCTCCCAGTTCAAGCGATTCTCCTGCCTCAGCCTCCCGAGTAGCTGAGATTACAGGCATGCGCCACTACGCCTGGCTAATTTTTGTATTTTTAGAAGAGACGGGGTTTCACCATGTTGACCAGGCTGGTCTCCAACCCCTGACCTTAGGTGATCTGCCTGCCTCGGCCTCCCAAAATGCTGGGATTACAGGCATGAGCCACCACACCCGGCCTGGACAAGTTCTAAGACCTTCGAGGTGGAAGTTTGAGCTGCCTTTATGAGAGTCTTTTGGAGATTCTGCCAGTGAGTGAGGGCCTTCGAACACTGGACAAGCTGCATTGGCCCAGATGTTGGCAGCACATCATTCTTCAGGTAGCCCCTTTTGTGGTGATAATGACAAGAAAACCATGACTAGTGCACAGGTGGAAACGAGAACCAGAAAGGAAAAAGGGGTGCACATTGTCTGGGGTTGCAACTGACAGAGGGGTTATGTGTGAGGCTCCCTCTGAGATCTCTCATGAATGAGTGAAGACCCTTGAAGGCTAACGTTCTTGTGTCTCGGGGGATGAGTGGCTCGGAATCTGCAATTTGGGCACAAGGGTAAGTGTGGCCTCATTTTGCAATCACCGACAGATGGAGAGACGAGATCCAGGGGCTGGGGAAGTTTGGGGCTGAGAACTCACGTGATGAGGCTGCTCAAGGCATCTACAGAGTAACCCTGAGTGCTGTAGGGGGTGGGCTCTTCCGCACTCCCTCTGGGAGGTTTTCATCCATGAAGGTAGGGCCTGAGATTTGCATGTAGTAGCGATGTATGATTTTTTTTTTTTTTTTTTTGAGACAGAGTCTCTGCACAGACGTGCAGAGTTGACAGTTTGCAGAGCAATGTTGTGTTCAGAAAAAATATCCTGGCCGGGCGCAGTGGCTCATGCCTGTAATCCCAGCACTTTGGGAGGCCAAGGCGAACGAATCTCTTGAGCTCAGGAGTTCAAGACCACCCTGGCAACATGGTGAAACCCCGTCTCTAGTAAAATACAAAAAAAATTAGCTGGGTATGGTGGCGCGCGCCTGTAGTCCCAGCTACTCAGGAAGCTGAGGCATGAGAATCATTTGAGCCCTGCAGGTGGAGTCTGCAATAAGCCGAGATCACGCCACTGCACTCCAGCCTGGGCAACACAGAGAGATTCCATCTCAAAAACAAAAAAGAAAGAAAGAAAAGAAAAGAAAAAATATCCCAGACAGACTCAGTCCAAATTCCTAGCTGTGTGGCCTTGGAGAAGTCATTCTCTGAGCCTCAGATGTCTGGTCTCATCTGTAAGACAGAAATACTCTTTCTTGCTCAGGACAAACAAGAAGAGAGGTCTACTTATCCAACAAAACCCTCCACCCTGCCACAAGCCCCACCTCCCCCATAACCTTTCTCCGGGAAATGATATTTGAAAAACAAAGTCTTTCAGCTCTGGCAGGGCTCCAGGGCAGGGTCACCAGTTCACTCGACAATAACCTCAGTGATGTGATTTTTCCTCCCAGAACATATGGCAAGTGGGTCAGAGCTGGGGAAGTGGGAGCACAGCCGCTGCAGAGGCCGGTCTTGAGCACGTTCTCATTTTGCAGCTAACCAACAGCTTCCCCTGGCATGAGCAGACAGGAGCAGCCCCTCTCCTTTCTAACTGGGAGGAGAATGCCCACAGGCTTACAGCAGCTATGCCAAAGCCCATCTTGGACATTAGCAAGCCCCCAACCACCCACAGAGGTGCCAGAGGACTTCTCCCTGAGCATCAGGCCCAGGTGCCATGTGGCAGGCTCTGGTAGACACCAGCTCTCCCAGCCTCTCCACCCACCTGCCCCCACCCCATGAGGATGCTGGCCACCCTCCTCCTTCACCTTTCTGTTCCGTCTCCCACTCCCTCTAGCTTCATAGACACAGCCAGAGCTTATTCTCCTCCGCCCCAGTCAGGCAGTGTGCCCTGAGGTTGGCACTAAATAGTGGAGGAGTCAGACCACCTCCAGAGCCCCTGCACGTGGCCCAGAGTGTGTGAACAAGGCACTTTCCTGGAAGAACATCTCCCTTAAAAAGGTTACTCATAGGCATTCTTGTTACATTTTATAGAAAAGAAAAAGGATGCCAGGTGTGGTGGCTTATGCCTATAATCCCAGCACTTTGGGAAGCCGAGGCAGGTGGATCACTTGAGGTCAGGAGTTCGAGACCAGCCTGGCCAAAATGGCAAAACGCTGTCTGTACTAAAAATATAAAAATTAGCCTGATATGGTAGTGCATGCCTGTAATCCCAGCTACTCAGGAGGCTGAGGCAGGAGAATCACTTGAACACGGGAGGTGGAGGTTGCAGCGAACCAAGATCATATCCCTGGAAATCAAAAAAAGAAAAAAGAAAAGAAAAAGGAGGCAACCATTCAATCTGGTGTGGATTTATCAAGCATCTACTCTATGCCAGGAACTCTCTGCACACTAAGGATGCTGTAAGTGACATTCCCTGCCCTCATGGAGCTCAAGGAGATTAAATGACCCCTATAATCTAAGGCAGTTTTTCAAATATCTTAAAGCCTCCTGATGTGTACAAAAGGTAAAAACCCTGGTATCTGTGGTGGAAGAAGCCAGAGCAGTCACCATGTCTCACCCCAGGACTCCAGGAAGTTCTCAAATCACCACGCAGAGTCTCCTGCAAGATCTTGAAAGGTAATAACAGCTAGTGTGTATTAAACACTTATTACAGGCCAGGCACTCTTCTAAAAACATTAGCACGTGAACTCTCAGAACAAACCCATAATGTAGGAACTGTGACCCCCATTTCACAGATAGAAAGGAGATCACAGAGAAGGAAGCCACTTCCCACAAGGGCTGACTCCAGGGCCCATGACTTGTGTTCTCACCTGGCTTAGCTGCTCCACAGAGCTCCTCACAAGCCGTGAAGAGCAGTGCCATGAAACCTCACCGCATCACCACCATTCTGATGATGATGGTGGTGACGGTGGTGGCAGTGGTGATGAGGTAACTCTTAGTTCCTTTAGTTCCTTTACTTCCTGCAGAGAATGACTGGTTCCTCTAAATGGCTTGGTGATTGTTTTGTTTGTTTGTTTGTTTTGGGTTTTTTTGAGACAGGGTGTCTCTCTGTCACCCAGGCTGTAGTGCAGTAATGAAACCTCAACTCACTGCAGCCTTGATCTCCCAGGCTCCGGAAATCCTCCCACCTAAGCCTCCCAAGCAGCTGGGACAACACACCGGCTAATTTTTGTGTTTTTTGCAGAGACACAGTTTCACTATGTTACCCAGGCTGGTGTCAAAATCCTGAGCTCACGTAATCCTCCCGCCTCCCAAAGTGCTGGGATTACAGGCATGAGCCACCACGCCCAGCCTAATTTTTTTAATGTACATTTTCATTTTACCAGTGCTATTGTAAGTGCTTTTTGCTGTAACACATTTCTAACACATTTTAAGCAAAGGCGGCATTAATTTTGAAGAAATGATCCTTTCTTATGAAGACCCTTATTCAGCCATTCCTGGAGAGAGGAGGGACAAAGAGAGAGAGACAGAGAGTACAGGCGTTTGCAGACAGGAGACAGAATAAGAGAACATTTGCTAAAGAAATGACCTAGGCACTCAGTAAATGTTAGAAGACATGTGAGGGGCTTTTCCAGCGGTCAGTCCTGGCTGGAAACTCAGTCCCACCCTGTGCCAGATGACATGTCAGACCAACTACATAAATCCTCTGAGCCTCGGTTACCTTGTCCGCAAAGCAAGAGATCTCATTGGGGTTTTCTCCCACATTAAAGGAAACAACGACACTGCACAAAGCCTGGAACAGAATAGGAATGTGGTCTGTGCCTGCATCAACCCCTTGTGGACCCTGAGTACAAGGCTGAAAATGTCAGCAGAGGGCGCTGGCTGCTCTGGGCCCCTCAGTCTGAGACTCGTGCAGTGTGGATTCAGCGTGGATTCTCTGTCTTGTGGGTGGAGGGCTGAGGACTTTAATCCACGGTCAGATTCCCCCGCCTGTGGGCACTGTGCTGGGGACAGAAAGCAGAGCCCTCTGAAGGTGCAGTTACTTGTCATTTGCATTTCTTATAGAGAACAGATGCTCCTTTCCATGGGGAAACATTCCCATATGGTCTGGCCTTGTCGCAGTTTCCAACAAGGGCTGGTCTTAAATTTTGCAATTAAAGGTGTCCCTTGGCCACAGCCAGAAAAGAAACTGAGTTTTCATTGAGCCCTGGAGGTGCCTTTGTTTTGCCTCTGACAAGAAGGAAGCCAGCCCTCTGGGCCCCAGGGCCCTGCCAGCTCTCCCTGAGGTCCCCAATTGAGGAAAGGGTTGGGGCCTTCCCTTTAGGGGTTGCTGGTAGTCCCAAAAAAGGCTGTGCCAGGGAGATTGGGAAGGGAATGGGGAGGGAGACGAGTTCAGAGGACAGGGCTAGGGCTGTCAGAATGAACTTCGGGAGACTTTTCCTTCAGCATCTCACATCCTCACTTTTTCTACTCTAACCCTCTAGACCCCCATCTTCCATCTTTCCTCCTCTCTACCCTCAGGACACACACAGCCTCCAGGTCATAAGCTCTCTTCAGATGAAACACACAGGTGGCATCATCCCTCTGCCAGCTAGCCAGGTCCTCTCTTGTCTTGCATCCTCAGGCCCCCCAGCAGCCCTGTGTAATAAGGTGCTCTAGGAAGCCTCCACCCTCAGGTCCACCCTTCTCCTCTTGCCCCTCCAAGGCCTTCAGCTTGCTGTTCCTTTCCCATTCCATCCTTTACTCACTACTACTTGAATCTGATCCATGCTTTTACCTCCCTGATCAGGTCTGACTTCCTCTCAGCCGGGACTCCCCCTGGCCCTCCCAGTAATGCATCCACAAGTAACAGCAGCAACCCTTGGCCCCATTCCCCGCAGCCCCTGGTGCTTTTCTGCCTCCTAGAAACTGTTCCCACAAACTGCCATGCTAGCCAGCTCCACCTCCCTGGAGAGAGCTGAACCCTGAGCATCCCATACATATGATTTTCCACCGGTAGCCATAGGAGGATGCACGTTCACCTCCTGTCCTGCTGCTCAGTCCTCTCTGGACAACTTCTATGTCCCCAAGCTATCTCCTGTTTCAGAGAGTCCCCTCTCGAGTACCATTCCAGGTCTCCCCTGAACTTCTGTCCTCCATCATGTGTTTATCTCCAGTGTCCCAATCCCTCAGGACCTCACGTGGGCTCTGAATCCATTAACTGGCTGTGTGACCTGGAAACCAACTCATCCTTTCTGAACCGCAGGTTCCTTAAATGTAACTTGGGAGTGCTAATGCCCACATCCTTTTGGTTTTTTTTTTTTTTTTTTGAGATAGAGTCTCACTGTCACCCAGGCTGGGGTGCAGTGGCACAATTTCGGCTCACTGCAAGCTCCACCTCCTGGGTTTAAGTGATTCTAGTGTGTCAGCCTCCTGAGTAGCTGGGATTACAGACAGGCACCACCATGCCCAGCTAATTTTTGTATTTTTAGTAGAGTCGGAGTTTCACCATGTTGGCCAGGCTGGTCTCAAACTCCTGACCTCAAGTGATCCGCCTGCCTCAGCCTCCCAAAGTGCTGGGATTATAGGCATCGGCCACCACTCCCAGCTATGCCCACATCATTGGCTGCTGTGATGACGTCATGAGATGACAAACAGAAACATCTCCTTCCTCCTTCCTCTGTGGCGATAACTCTCCAGGGTGGGGTGAGGGGACTAGGAC